TCGTGGGCTACAACCCACTTCTTCGGATGCATCCGAAGAAGTGGGTTGTAGCCCACGAAAGCTTATGCTCTAATAAATTTGTTAGTCTCTAAGGTGCCACAAGTACTCCTGTTATTTTTGCGGATACAGACTAACACGGCTGCTACTCTGAAACCTGTCATCTGCTGAGACTAACTGGAGAAATCCTTCTGCTTCATCAGGTAAGCATATCCAATAGACAGTTTCCGGATGTTTAGAAGACTGTTTTCCACGTCCAGAGAACATTCAGACTCTTAGAGTTAACCACAGAGCATCCATGCTGTAAAATGAAGGGTGCATGCGTTGAGATCTAACATCCGACCGTGGTTCTGGGATATTATGCCAGGTTCCTGAGGTAGTGGTACTGGACTCCCGACAGATGTTTAGCAGACTGGAGAACCAATGCAGACGAGGCTAGGCTGGTACCATAAGAATTATGCGAGCTTGGTCCTGCTGGAGCTTGTGCAGTATTTTCAGGAGCAGATGAATAGGACAGGCAAACAGCAGCTTACCCTTCCATGAGACATAACATACTAGGCTTAACCCCTGGACTGGACAGGACAAGAAAGAGTTGCAATGCTCGGAGGACTTGATCATCAATAGTACTGCAAACTTCTGCCCCTACCTGGAAATAACAGGGCAGCAAGTGTGCTGGAGAGTGGAGAGGGACTAGTACCAGTAGGCCTACTTTTTGCATGCCTGGAGAATCCCCTACCAGGAGCATAAGCAAGTCTCTTGCTGCCACATTACCCTGAGACCTGGGTATGACAGTTGCTTCCCTGAGAATGTTGGCACTGCAGTAAGAGTCCACATCAATGGCCTGGAAACCAGTGCTGGAGTCAACAACTTTTTCAGGGCTGAGGCAGAGGCCAGTACCAGGGAGAGTCACCTACCCGCCTATTCCACTGCTCTGCTGGTAAGTGACAGGAGATCAAGTTTCCTGGTGCCAAGATCTGATTTACCCAACTTAGAAGAATTGTGCTCCCCGGATTTCTTGTGTTTTTACCTCAGTGCCAGAGAAGGGGATCAGTGCCTTCCCTCCAACAATCTTCTCGGGGACCAAGGGGGGAGCAACATCCAGAGAGGTACTCCTAGCTGAGATGGAAGTACACTATTTTGCACCCAGAGCAGGAAGGCTCAGAAGGTGGACAATAAGCCAGCTTCCAATAAGCAGGTGGCGCAGTCTCACCTCCCTGTCCTTTTCTGTACACAGCTTGAAGTCTACACAGGTCTGGCAGCAGTCTCAAACATGGCCATCACCCAGACATTTCAGACACTTGACGTGAGGCTCACCCAACCCACACAAGACTTAAAGCCTGGGAAACGAGGCATGCCCCAGTATTGAGTGTCAACACCGGTGCTAAGAGGGACTCGATGCCAGAAAACTAAGACAAGAAAGAAAGAAAATCTAGACTATGTATAAGAACAAGTAGCTCTAAACCAGAACACACACTAGTTAACTATACAGAAATACACAGGAAACCACCGATAGGGGAAAGCATAGATAAACAAGGCGACATGGTCCAGCTACCGACCACAGGCAGTAAGAAGAAGCCAAAGGTGGATCCAGGGAAGCTCTCCCCTTTACACCTTAAGGCAGTTGCACAAGTGTGCTGAAGGCACATGTGTCACTCCGATGGGTACCACAAATTAGAAACATCTCGGACTCTGGTGCACTGAGCATGCACACACCTGAAGTGGAATGGACATGTGCAATCACTCGAAGACGTGAATTTGTTGTACCAGCTCAATTCCTAGAAAAAGGAGTGACCAGAGGGGCCAGGAGCCCAATGGGAATGAGGACCACTATCTTCACCCCAGAAGTGATCCCTGCAAGTCAGGACTGGGGCACATTAGGTTAAATATGCATCACCCCATGCTGTGTTTTATATGGAGGACTTCCATATCAGGGTATCAAGCATCAGATTTACTTTAATACAGCTAACAGACCCACTTAATGTTACTGACAGCCACTGCCCAGGCATACTGCTTCTAGTTAGAAGCCCTTTTACCAGGAATGAGCTGTCCCAGACCCTCATCTTGCAGAACATTCAATGACATTTGTCAACATCTTTCAGTGTGCAGAAGCCCGCACGACAAAGCTAGGAGACAAATAATCTCACCTGAGGCTAAGTGCTTGATGACCAGTTTGTGACACTGGTTCCAGTGTCCAGCTTTGAACAAGTAGAGGGCCTCTTTATGCTTATCTCCCTCCATCCTTGCCCGAACTGCCTTAGCTTCATGAATCCATTCTGGTGGAATGCAGAGCTTTTGTGTCAGGAAAGTCTCCTTTGTCCAGGATTCTGGCGTTTCCGACAGCACGCAGTGGCGGTTTAAGAATTCACGCACTGCTTTCTCACGTGTGCTAATGGGAACAGACAGCAATTAGCTATTCAAACAGGTCATTTCATGTTTCACCCTCAAAAATCAGAGCTCTAGGAATGGGCATATTTTGTGAGCAGTCACTTGTAATATCTGTAATTAGTATTAAGATGTCTATAGCTATGACGCAAGTAATGACTCCCAAATTCATAAGAAGCAATCCACGTTAGCCATACATAATATTCCCTTGCATATCAGTTCTTAGCACTGAAGCCTTTTGAGAGGAATGATCCTATTCTGTGGTCTAAACAAAGTCAAGAAGTGATAAGTGAGTGGGCGGAGTTACCTGGAATAGAGTTCTGGCAGAAAGCAGCTATTTTGAAGGCATTTTTTAGACCGGGGGTCCCCAAACTGTGGGGTGCGGCTCCAAGGGGGTTGCAGAGAAACAATTGGGGCTGGGGAGGGAACGCCACACAGCCCCAGCCCCTGGGGCTCCAGCAGTGGCCCCAGCCTCGGCTCCCTTACCTCTGTCCACATGCCCCTCTCCCAGAGCTGCAGCCCAACTCCTGGCCCCTGGGAGGGTGGGGAGGGAAGGAACACTGACAGGGATGGGGGGGGCCCCATGAGGTAATAAAGTTTGGGGGCCACTGTTTTAGACAGATTAATCCATTTATGGTTAGTATGACACACACGTTAGTTAGATGTTGCCAGACAGTTTTGAGAGTTCAGTACTCCTAACACCTACAAGCAAAAGTGATAAAGGATCAAGGTGACACCATAAGTGTGTGACCCTAAAATGCCAACAAGCCTAGATTCCAACATAAAAAAAGTGGGAGGAGACCCCACTGAAGAGTGTCAAGCTGTGCTCTAATTCCTACCTCTAGTGATAAAGAGATTCTTCAATGAGAACTAAGTAAACAGGTCTGACAGATGAAGACCCGCAGCTCACTTGGCCATAACTGGATTGGCTCTACAACTGTGATACTCAGACTGTGGCACAGGAGCCACAAGTGGCTCTTTAATGCGTCTCCTGTGGCTCTTCGCAGCAAATGATATTAAAATACTATGTGATTTAATTAACAACCAATCAGGATCTTTTTACTATGTTATTAACCAATTGTGGAATATTTGTTCAGTCATTTTGCTGTGAGAATATAAAATAGTGAATGAAACCAGGAATTCACACTACGGTGGCTCTTTTGGGTAAGGCTGATCTCTAATTTGGCTCCTGAACCACTGAGGTCTGAGTATCACTGCTCTGCAGTATTAAGAGTAGTTATGTAACAGTCACTGAAGCTAGACAATTTGGACACAGGGTAAACTAATGAGTAAGTATTTTGTCACTTTGACTACCTACATTTTAGGACTCAAATATTTCCTTCAAATGCAAAATTATATTTTTAAGTGGTCAGTATGAAAAGAATAAACTTGAAAGAACACCCTTGAAATATCATTTTTAAAACTCCTTTTCAATTTTACTTTACTTTTAAAGTGTGCCTTCTCTTGCTGATGTTTGTAGGGGGGGTTTTCCACCATGGTCAAAACTAACTGTACACTAATAAACCGAAAACAATTTTTGGCTAACTTATGAATTACAATAATGTTAGATGTTACACAACTTACTCAGACCTGAAGAGCTAAGATCGAAAGCTTGTCTTTCGCCAACAGAAGTTGGTCCAATAAAAGATATTACCACCTTGTCCTTTTTCTAGCAAAATTACACATTTCAGACATGTGATTTTCCAATTGACTGTCCCTTTAAACACCCCACTCAATTATATTTTGTACAACTCTGTTCTGAAATCACAAGTCCTGGTAACCAGCCAAAATTTAATCCAACTCTTTTCACTCCTCAAATGAGGAAACTATTGGCAATACCTAGTTTATTCATGAACAAAAACTACACCCCTAAAAAATGTCATTTTAATGACGTCATCTGTGTATTCCTAACTCCTTATCCTTTCAAGTAAGTCAGATCTAAGAGTATTAGCATTCTACAAAGCAGTGCTGTAGTCCATTTTTATAGTCCATGCCCACCAGAAGACCAGGTTTCAACCCACAGAGGAGCAATCACTATTTAGCTCTAACAATGTTCTCAGCACTATATAAAACAAAGTAATCCTGCTGCAAAGAACTTACAGTCTAAAAGGAAGGGAAAAAAAAAAAAAAAAGACAGGCTGCACTGGGCAATCTAGGTGAGTGAACAAGTTATTTTGTTAACTTGTGGGCACCATAGTTGTAATTGTAAGGGCATCATATGGAATTGTAAATGCCATGCTGCTAAGCACTTACTAGCAGTGATGACATCCTAGACTAGGAAGTTTTGTGGCACTTTGCAATCCTCACATATTTTAAAACTGATGCACTACAATCAATCACTGTGCAGTTTCATTTTGATTACCTCAAGGGAAACCACTAGCGACCATAGATAAGTGCTCCATGCTGTATACAACTACAAATACTCCTTCCAAAGCACATAGCAAGAGAAGTCTGCCTTGTACTTACTGTGTATTGGATGTATGCAGCAGTACAAAAATGGCCCATTCCCAGAGTCCTTCACTTTCAAGCTGGGCAGCATAGCTGGCATTCAGCACTCCTTGACACTGCTCTGATAGATGAGTGTAATTCAAGGCTCTAAGTACTTCCCACAGGTGCCAACTAAGACGGTAGTCCAAGGGGTCGGAAGTAATACTTCTGGGGTCAAGCAGCTGATTGAGATCATAGCATCTGCAGAGAGATGGATTTAGAACATAAGTAACAAGAAGCGGACAAGTAGTTCATTGGGCCCACATAACAAATCCAAGTACTGGTGATACTTAGTTCCTGACAATTCCTTTGTTTTCTTTACTGAATGCCTCTGGAAGCAAGTTAGTGTCCTATTTGAACACAAGTTCAATAGTTAATATTCTATCAAGCTTCTTTGAGTTTGCATCCAGAGTGCCATGTTTCCTCTGAGGAATATGCACTTGCTGTGTTATTTTATCAGCAGCTTAAAAAAAGGCAACTGCACATCAGAAGATAAGAATACTTCACCCTCATTCAGAACACAAGCTGAAGTTACAGGAAAAGAAGTATAGTTACAGACAAGACTTCTATACTGGGCTGCTAGTTTCTGATCAAACAAAATGTCCTTTCCAAAACTATCAAAAGAAAGCTTTTATGTGGCCTGTCTTATTAACATTCAGAGATATGCTAAATTGATGCCTCATTTCTTTTCAGGACCAACTTCTCTCCCAGACACAAATGGGCTGTACCACTCTTTCTGCAAATACCAGTAACTTGGCGGTTGTCTTATTTGGGGAACAAAGTCCTGGAAATTTGGGTCTGGGAGAATTTTGCTTGCTGCTTTTCCCCAAAAAGCTATATATGTTAGGATCTTAATTGGGTACGGTGGGAGTACTGAACTACTTCTGTTTGCATTGCAGGAGGCAGGGAATTTGGTGCAAAGGAGAGTAGCCAAACCCCAGAGACCTGTGGGGAAGTATTCACTCCCAGTGGTGTTTCCTCCAACATCTTGGATTTAGGGACAGATCATATGAGAGGAGACATCTATGACTAATTAATTCTATATTTACAGAACAGCAAGAGTGATGGATCCAATAAATGGCTCTTTAGGTGTTCGGATTCCCATTTACCTGTCGCTGTAGAGCTTTAACAAGTGAAAGCAGACATCTCTCAGGGGTCTCTTTGTACTGTCATCTTCCTCAAGTACACAGCCAGAATCCTCTAGGTAGGGAGGCAGGGGACAGCAGGCATATTTCTCACACTCCGGGGTGTTCTGTAGAATATTGTACCACAGACTACACTTAGTGACAGCAAACCAAATAGAACAGCACTACTACATACACAGCACACATTCAGAACCTCACAACTCCTGTGAATTATGAATCTGATATGCTTTCTGCTTCAGCAAAGTACACCCACATGTGAGACTGTCAGTGTAGAGGCCATTAGCTTGCCTTTAGTAGCCACCTCTGGGAGCTATATTCCACCTATTTAAAATACCCTTGCAGCGTCACCTGGCTCTTTTACATTGTAATGGAATGTTTTTTCAGTTTGCTGTTTTAAAAAGCTAGGAAGTTGCACACACAAGAAATTTTTTAAAAGGCTACAGAGTCGAGCACACCAAAGTTAGGAAGTGCCAGAATTAAGGCTGCACCGCAACCTTCATTTGGCCCCCTTGTGCATATGCATTAGGATTCAGAAATTACCTGATCACACTTTTTCTCACAGGACCACTGCCTCAGTCAGTACACAAGCTGGATGATGCTCATTCAGTAGAATCCAACATTTTGTTTTATCTTCCTCGTTCAATGTGTTGCTCTAGGCCTTATTAGCTGAACGCTACTGAAACCCATTCTCTGAACAGAGAGCTGATTTCCTCAAGGGTTTTTCTATGGCACTTATTGTAGCTTCACAAACATTGATGAGTTTATCTTCACAACATCCCTTTGAGGTGAGATGTATTATCCCCATTTTATAGATGGGGAAACAAAGCAGACGCATTATTAAACAAACTGAGGAACACACATAGTGGCTATCTGTGAAAAGTCTGGTTTAAGTGGCTTGCCTGGCATCAAATATGAACCTTGTGGCAGAAGGGACAGAAGACAGTTCTCCAGGGCAGTATTTGACTGCCTAAATCACAAAAACTCCAAACCGTTACTTACCTGTACAGAAACTGTTTGAGATGTATTGTGCACATACATTCCACTGTAGGTGCATGCACGCCCCATGCACTCAAGTCAGAGACTTTTGCCAACAGTACCACTAGGTGGTGCATGCACCCCACTTTCCTCATGCTCAGAGCTGAAAGCATAAAAGGGGCATGACAAACCTCTACAACCCTTTGCACTGCTAAATAATATCCAAAGAAGATGGGAGTGTCATGTACATGCGCATCTTGAAGAACAGTTACTGTACAAGTAAGTTTTTTCTCTGAGTGATTGTGCATATAGACATTCCACTATGACACACCATCAGTATCCTTGCAGGTGGTCAGACTTGGGATTATCTGAAGAGACTGACTTGCCAAAACTGGCATCACCTGGAAACCTTTACTGATGGCAGAGTGTCTAGAAAAGTATGTACTGATGACCACATGGCTGCTTTGTAAATATCCATTATCAATATGTTATTTAGGAAGGCTGACAGTGGAATGAGCTCTAGTGGAATGGCCTGTTATTCTCACAGAAAGAGAAACCTTTGCTAAATTGCAGCAGATCTTAATACAGTCAGAAATCCAGTGAGATATATGCTGAGCTATAACCAGCTGCCCTTTAATCCCTTCAGCAAAGGCCACAAAGTCAAGGAGACAATCTAAAGGGCTTTGTACAATTCAGGTAAAAGGACAGAGCCCTCTTGATGTCTCAACTATGAAGTCTCTTCTGCTTTGAGTGTGTGATGTTTTGGAAAAAATACTAGATGAACATGAGGTAAAATGCAGATACTACTTTGGCATAAACCTAGGCTGTGGCCTAAGATAAACTTTGTCTTTATTGAAAATCATGAAAGGGGCGCCAGGTAACAGCGCCTGAAGCATCAACACCCTTGCTGTGGCAATTGCTATCAGAAACAGTTTTCATCTACGGCAAAGATAAAGAAGCTGTTAGAGGTTAAAAGGGGGAACCCACTAAACAGGGGGGAAAAAAAACTAGATTCAGGTCCCATGGGGGTATTGGGTCAGATACAGGAGAATACATATGAATAAGGCCTTTTAAGAATCTAGACAGCAAGGGATAGGAAGAGACAGAATATCCATCAACTGGCAGATTTATTGCGAGATGGAGGCTAAATGTCCCCTTACAGAACTGATTGAGAGAATGGAAGATTTTAAATGTGGCAAGTAGCCTAATACACCTAATTTCTGCACTGTTTGGCAACAGCTTGTAAGACTCAGTCTAGGCTGAGAACCACTTCCATTTTGCTGCATAAGTGGCCCTGGTTGTGTCCTTCCTGCCGCACACCAAAATGGCTTGGACAACCTGCAAGCAAACTCTTCATTGTTCAACCAGAGATCATCCACATGGTGAGCTGGAGTGTAGGCAGGGGTGCAGTGTAGGTTCTGAGAGAGGTCCTTGACCAGAGTTATAGTGACGGAAGGCTGAACTGACAGATGATGTAGGTTGCTGCACCAGTACTGTCTTGGCCAGGCCCATGTTATAAGGATTACAGTTGTTTGGTGGTCTTAGTTTCCTGATCAGCCTTGGAATTAGAATGACAGGTGGAAATGTACATTAGATGACCGGTCCAAAGGAGAAGGAAGGCATCTGTCAGAGCAACCTGGACTGCAACTTGCTCTGGAGCAGAAGTTCTTGCATTTGTTGTTCAGGTTGGTCACAAAGAGGTTTTTTAGCAGGTAACCCCGCTGATGAAAATCCGATTTAGAACGTCCACATGTATAGATGACTCATGATGGCCTATGAAGTTCCTGAGGAAATATACAAAAAGTATTCCTCACCCCTGGGAGGTGAAATGCCATTAACACTTAACATTTCAGCACACCCAAAGAATGCCTATTTCGACAATATACTGTGTGAAGTGAGATCTGAAGACACCTGATGTCTGTCATGCAGAGTCACTTCCGTGCACGAGACCATGTGCCATAACTAATCCAGACACAAATGCACCACTGTCCTTGAGATGGACTGAAGGGTTTTGGACACAGACTATGGACTGGAATCTGTCCACAAGGAGACATGCCATAGCTGTAGAGTCTAGATCCACCCCATGAAATTTATTCTGTGTGTTGGCTGTAATGTCTTTTTGTTTCTCTAATTTTAGGCCCAAGACAAGAAAAGAGATGTCTGATGGCCTGGACTCAGTTTTGGATGTGAAATCTTGATCTTCCCAGGTCCAGCCAGTCATCCAGGTAAGGAAATATCTGGATGCCTAAACAGTGCAGGTAAACTACTACCACTGCCATATATGTGGTAAACACCATCAGGGCAGAGAATAGGCCAAAGGGTAGAACCATGTACTGTAAGAGCATATTGATGACCATGAAATGAAGATTCTTCTGTGGCCCAGATGAATTCCCATGTGACACTATGCATCCTGCAAGTCAAAGACAGTGTATCCCTCTCCCATCCCAAAGAAGAGATAGTAGATGCCAGAGTAACCATCCTGAACTTTATTTTCTTGAGGAAAGCATTCAGCTTTCTTAGATCTAGGCCAAGGCAAAGGCCTCCTTTCTTTCAGGGGATCAGAAAGTAGTGGGAATAATATCATCTGAGACTGTACTACTTGCATTAATGAAGACCTGCGAGATGGGTGCCTGAAAAGGGCTGGGGAAAGTGGGTTGGGAAAGGGGAGGGAAGCGAACTGGATAACATTCTACCACCCCCACAGTGTTGAAAACCAAATGTCTGAAAAGATTTCCATCCATGCACTGTAAAAAGACATGCAGTCTCCAATGGGGGGGGGGGGGGGGGGGGGGGGGGGGGTGAAAGTTTGGAGATGGTTTCTAGTTAATATGCTGTCCTTGACTGTGATGTCAAAATGACTGTTTTGAAGTTGCGGTCTGGTGAAAAGGTCCTACAGGGGATGAAGCTGATGGGTGGTGTCTAGGCAGCTTAGATCTCAGTATAGAGACATCTTGAAGTCTCCAGTGATCGTAAGGCCTAGACTGTGCTTGCAGTCTAAGCTATTGCATCTTCATCACCGGGATATATACTCCCAGTGAGTGAAGAGTGGAACAGGAATCTTTTAATATGCACATGACATCATCAATCTTCTGATGAGAGAGTTTAATACCCTCAATCATCAAGTCTTTTATCGTATTTTGTAGTTCTTTAGGGATGCCAGAGGCCTGCAACCAAGATCACCACCTCATGGTAACCACTGAATACGAAGTCAGATCAGACACATCAACGGCTGCTTGAAGAAATGTCTGAGTAGTGAGTTGACCTGTGATGACTATGGGTACTAACGGCTCTTTATAATCTGGTGGTAATTGGTCTGACAATTTAGCAATTGCAGACTGATTAAAAAAAACTTGGCCAATAAAGCTTGATAGCTTAACACTCATTTGAAAAAAGCAACAGAGGGTCCTGTGGCACCTTTAAGACTAACAGAA